TCGGAGTCGCGGAGAACCTAACGGGTAACCGGGGCTCCGGCTCGACGTGCAGGAGAAGGAACGGGGTGGTTTTTAGTCAGTAAGAGTCTGACACTCCCTCCCGCCTCACCCAGGCGGGGGCAGTCATTCGATGATTTTCCCCCCTTAAAAAAAAAAAAAAAAAAAAAGCATGCAATCCATAAATAAAATAAATAAGACATTTTGAAATTAAATTCTCATTCAACACACTTAAAGTTAAAATTACCGTAGCACTCAATCTCAGAAACAACAGCACTTTGTTTAGAAATACGGTCAATTCTAATTTGATTTCTAAAGCCATTTCCTTACGGTACATTTTTATTTGTATTAAAATCTTAGCAGACACATTCTACTGAAAAAATTCAAAATTCAAAATTCTTTATTATTATCTTAAGAATTACACTATCTGTCTAACATTGAGGCAGTCCCAGTAAGTTATTATACAATACTTGTGTTGGGACTGACTGAATGATAGGACACCATGTCTGTTACCAGGGCACAGTGCAGTTTTTATCGAAAAATAAATATAAATGTGTGTTTGATTGTATAAGGAACGGGGTGGTTTTTAGTCAGTAAGAGTCTGACACTCCCTCCCGCCTCACCCAGGCGGGAGCAGTCATTCGATGATTTTCCCCTCTTAAAAAAAAATCCTATCTATATATTTATTTATCAAGACATAAAAAGCGTTGAGTCATGGATTTTGATATTAATATCAATCATGCGAATTCTGGAAATGCATTTTTTTATATGGGCGAGGCTTATCCAAATAATAGGGACAAGATAACTGATAAATTCGAATTTAGGGTTCCTAGTTATACTTTGATCGACCTGGGATACGTACGTGTGATATTCGCAGTTAAAAGTCGCAAATGATTCACTAATTTGTATATTTTTTTCTTACTAGAGGTACAATTTTGACATATTTATATGGTGACTAAAGCCGATAAGACTCAAGCTCATATTTTTGCCCAAGCATAGTTGAAAACCGGAGCTGGAGACTGCCTATCGGGTTACAGTGCTTTCGGCTTGAAGTGGAAGTAGGAACGGGGTGGTGTTTAGTCTGTAAGAGACTGATCGAGAAGACACGAGAAGGATCTCGCTTTACCCAAGCCAGGAAAAGTCATTGGATGATTTTCTCTCCAACAAGAAGGATAGTTGGAAAGGGATGCACATATCTATTCAACGTATTTGCATCTCTTTTTAACCGTACTTTTTTAAGGGAGGAAAAGCATCGAATGATTTCTCCCGACTGGGTGAGGCGGGAGGTAGTGTCAGACTCTTACTGACTAAAAACCACCCCGTTCCTACTCCTGCACTTCGAGCTGGAGCCCCTGTAACCCGTTAGGTTCTCCGCGGCTTTTTTAACTGTACTAGAGAGGAGATATCCGCTGAAGTATTGTTCAGTAACATAGACCTTAATCAAAATTTTATCAAAATGAATGTAGATATTTTAAGAATGACTTTGATTAATCCATTCAAAGGATAATAGTCATAATAAACTTCACATTATTTCAGCCTTAAGGAAAAAAATTGTATCCCATTTAATTGAGGAAAAATTGTAATAAAATTGTTCATTACTGCATAAACTCGGACGCGGCGTTCACACAACTACTTATCAAATACTTGAAACATTGTGTTTGGAATCACGGTACAAATTAGATCAGTTTGCATAGACATGCCTTCTTGAAATACAAATAAAAAAATACATTTTTTGTATTGTATTTTGTAGTGTAATACCGTTTATATAAACCGCGGCGCGTGTGACGAAAATAAAGAATAATAAATACGTGTTCATTTTTTGTGTTTAAAATAGGAATTTTGTGTGTTTTATTATTTTTTGTGATGTATTCTTTTAAAATGAGTACATTTGAAAGTGTTAGTGTGTAGGGAAGTTCTGTGTAGTGTATTTGAAGTTTTTGTATTATTGTGTCATTTGGATTGGAGCGGTCAAAATGGCGAATATAGGTACTTGGTTGGATTTCTTTCACATGTAATATTGTAAGCTAGCTCTAACTCGTTTGTCAAGGAGTAGTGAGAGGTGATAGATAGATACTATCAGTGTCATTTTTCAAACTTGAACTCCGATCAAGTCGTCCTCAGCTGAGCATAGGCCTCCCTTAGTGACTTTCACTTGAACTGTATAATAATATGGACTATCTAACACAAAGAGCAATTTTTCAAATCGGTCCAGGAATTCCGGAGATTACATTCCGGAGATTACCGTGTTCAATAAAGAATTGTAGCAACAAGATTTAAAAGAATGGCACAGGTTGTACTTTTTCGTGGATAACACATCTGACTTGGATTTTCTTTTTATATTTTTCCGGTAACTTTTTTTTAAATTGTTGTTCCGTGTGTTGTTCCGTGCGGGAATCGAACCCGCGACACGTTGCACGGCAGCCGGTTGCCCAGCCATCGCACCAACCGTGCAGTCAACTATTGGAACCTTGCCGATCATCTGATGCCATTTGATCTTCGACTTCACCCGTATAATAGTATAGTATAAGATTGATACTGACCACTAGATCAACAGACGTACCAAGTTAATTTTACATTTACATAACATAACATCACGCCTTTTTATCCCCGAAGGGGTAGGCAGAGCTGCACATTACGGCACTTAATGCCACTGTACAATGTAACACCCACTTTTCCCTATGTTATAAGTCCCATGTAATAGGTGAGTCCCTACTCTTCTACATTTACACTATTAGTAGATACTATTTATCCGATATATCATAAACTAGCGACCCGCCCCGGCTTCGCAAGGGTGCAATATGCATGTATTATACATACAAACCTTCCTTAAGAATCACTCTATCTATTAAAAAAAACCGCATCAAAATCCGTTGCGTAGTTTTAAAGATCTAAGCATACATACGGACATACAGCGAAAGCGACTTTGTTTTATACTATGTATTGATTGATTGTACATTAATTGCAAGTTGACAGTTGTTTTCAGTTTACATTTTGTAAAATGATAATGTTTATTTATAAACAAAACAGGTATAAGGAAATGTTTTTCTCGTGTTCTGTTATCTATGTAAACATAGTATCATGCGTGTTTTATGCTAAAGGGATAGGCAGAAGTGTATAAAACTGTGATTTCTATCCACTATGCTAGTAATGCATTAACTGTCAGAGTTACTTCAGTGAATTTCTACTTTAAACGTTTTGCAATAAAGTTGACAATGTATCAAAAAAGCAGGCTAGGATGGGGGCTTAAAGTGCGGGGGGCTTAATTAAATCTTTTATTGCATTGGTATAATTTTTTGTGTAACATTATGAAGCTAATGATTATGGACCCCGTTGTCTTGCGAGATCAGTCGAGCGCCCTCGAACCGTTTACATGAGCAAACCGTATCTTTTAAGTGATTTGGCTCGATCTGTTTGTGCATCTAAAGATTGTAAAATATTGGAAACCTCCTCAATTCTAATATTTTGGTTAAACCCATCGTCAGGTAGGTATTTAAAGCCCTGATTCACTATAACAATCGTCATAGATAAACAACTTAAAACTACATAAACATAACATAACGCCTTTTATCCCCGAAGGGGTAGGCAGAGGTGCATATTATACCACTGTACAATGTAACACCCACTTTTCACTATTTATGTTATGAGTCCCATGTAATAGGGGGTGAGCCTATTGCCATATACCGCGCACAATTCCAGACTCCGTGCTACTACTGATAATTTTTTTAAAAATCCCATTAATACTTTGCCCGACCCGGGAATCGAACCCGAAACCCCTTGCCCAGCAGTCGCACTTGCGACCACTCGGCCAACGAGGCAGTCTTAAAACTACACCCATCATCAAACCGACCTTGACAACTGTAACTTAACCTGTGATTAAGCCACGACCTCGCGGTCATGGAACTGTAAATCTCATAGAAATGGTTTCAAACAATCGCTGTTTGCATGGATCACCTGAGTCATAGTCCAACGTTGAACTAGAGCGGTTGTCAATTGTTTTTATCGTATTTTGTTCTGTGGAGTTTGTTTTTAATTTGTAGGTAAGTAAGGTGTACTTTCCTCTGGAGTTTCCTATCGACTTTTTCCGGTGCATCCTATCGTACAGCTAATATTATAAATGTAAATTAATTTTGTACTTGCCAAGTGGTCAAATTCAATTCTTGTTTTGAACTGTCAAAAGCGACATGTGTATTGTGACGTCACGTTTTTTTAGCGTCAAACTGAATATTTATTTCAACTGTCAAACACCAAGCGGTCACCGGTGACCGCAACCTATTGTTCTTTAAACTGTCAAACACCAAGCGGTCACCGGTGACCGCAACCTATTGTTCTTTAAACTGTCAAACACCGAGCGGTCACCGGTGACCGCAACCTATTGTTCTTTAAACTGTCAAACACCGAGCGGTCACCGGTGACCGCAACCTATTGTTCTTTAAGGCGTCAATGAAACCAACCTCTTTACTAGAACCAGATTGTACTTAATTGTGTCTATCGTAAAATAAAATACGTTTAAATCATATTCAAAAATTCATTAATAGAGTCCAACAGAACGAAGTTTGTAAGTTGTGTGGGAGAGCCATGCTTCAGCACGAATGGGCCGGCTCGTCCGGAGTGATACCAGGGACCGAGGCAGAAAACCGACGTCAAGTAACGCTTGTGTCGTATGATTGAGGTTACCACAGGCCCAATTATCCACCCACCCCTTCCCTAATCTCCCCAATCCATGAATCCCCAACGATCCTCAAACTTCTAATCTCCAAAAGGCCGGTAATGTACTTGGAACGCCTCTGGTTTCAAGTGTCCATGGGCGACCCCGATTGCTTACTATCAGGTGATCCGTCTGCTCCTTTACCGGCTTACGTCATAAAAAAGAAATAAAGAAGATTTCTTACCTTTGTCTTGTTTTTCGTACATAAGCTACATCAAACAGTAAAATGAAAAAGAGAACCGTGAACTTACTTATTCTTCTTTCAAGTTGCTCATGTCTATCAATTTGTTTGTTTCAGCTCAACGATCTCATGAACGAGCTGTTCGAGACCGTCACAGCTGTATGCAATATGGACGACAATAAGCCTGGCAGTTTCCCAACAGAGAACTCAGATGGCAGCACTAGCGAGGGTAAGATTTCAGACATTTTTAGTGTTATAAAGAGCTTTGTCTCTTAGAGATCACATCGCACAGTGCGTGACAAACAAAATAGAATTCTATTGTGATAGAGATAACACCTAAATTGAAGAAGATATTGATACGAAATGGATTAAATAAAATTAAATTTGAAATGTGTAGTGTATCTTCAAATAGTTATGTAAAGCGGTGGATAATGTTATACTTATCTAATTATTATTATTCTAAGTTTAATTTCAAAGAAAGATCAAACGAAATTGTATCTAAAATACTAATTTTAATTTTTGTATTTTTTTGGACATATGATATTTATTGAAAAATAGCTCACCCCCTTACATGGGGCTCATTACATAAATAGTGAAAAGTGGGTGTTACATTGTGCAGTGGCATTAAGTGCCGAAATGTGCACCACTGCCTAACCCTTCGGGGATAAAAAGGCGTTAAGTTATGTTATGTACATTCCAAAATAATGGTAACCTGCTTAATTTATCTAATTCTACTCTCTCTAATTACAGAATCAGTAAAACTAACAAGAAGTTTGACAGAAAAAAGAAAGAACTACGTCCGTAGAGTATCGACGAGGGTCGCCTACTTAGACCCAAAGAACATCAAGAGATTCAGACATCAGACCTCAATCTGCTCATATAAATCCGAAGTTATTGACAACCCCTATTCCACCTTCAGATCTTGGAAAAGCTTCAGAACCTCCCAAGGAAATATAACAAATATTACCAAGATGGATGCCGCTTCGAAATTCAATTTGACAGATGCTGACGGCAATGTATTGTCTATGAAAGACGTGTTAGATGCCAGTTCGGATAGCATAGACAATATGAGCATAGATGAAAAGGCTGGGTGCATAGATTTGCCTTTTGAGCCTAGAGAAAGGGGGCTTTTTAATCTGTGTTTATTGGTTGGACTGAATCATATGACTGGACAAGCGTATGTTAAAAGCGTATTTCCTAGTCAGGTGAGTTTTAAACATATTTGTTACAATTTGAGAGTGAGTTCGAGTTTTATTGGGTTAGACGGCAAATGGGTGCCTGCGGACTGTGAGCAAGAATAGCTCGTCGCTCGATCAGAACCAGACCCGAGCGTACGGCGAGGCGCGTCGCGTTCCGCCCTCGCCTCAAAGAGCCGTCAGACCACTACAGATGGGGCTCAATAGGACTGATGCCTATACGGAGCCGCGGAGTACTTAACGGGTTGCAGGGGCTCCAATTCGAAGTGCAGAAGTAGGAACAGGATGATGTTTAGTCTATAAGAGTATTCATTTCACTTCCTCTCGCCTCAACCGGGCGGGAGAAGTTATTGGATGATTTTCCCCGCTCAATGAAAAAGATAGGCAAATGCGTAAAAGGGTCAGCTGATGATGATCAGTTCTAGTTGGAAACTAGCATCACCAAATAAATTCTAATTGCGTTGCCAGCCCGTTCTGGATCGCTGGTAACGTCATTGAAATTGCATGAAGCTTTTTCAGGCTCATCTCGTCGTATGAGGTCGAGGTTTCATTCCGGTGGAGCCAGCCCAGTAGTGCCGAAGCATGGCTCTCCTAAGTAGTACTACGTTATATAGTCGTAGATAAGAAGTTGTGTTATATAACAGCTTCTTCCAGTGGGCTACAACATGGGGTTCTAAGAGGGGAGTGAATAGGTTTCTTAAGGGTCGGCAAGACGCATGTAATGCCCCAAGTGTTGCAGGCGTACATAGGCCACGGTAACTGCTTACCATCAGGTGGGCCGTGTGCTTTTTTGCCACCGTCGTGGTATAAAAAAGAAGTTTCGCCCACGTGCCCATGGAATAAAAATACCCTATGTATGTCAAGACCATAATCTACCACTGTTTCTTATTTCATTCCGATCCGTTCAGCCGTTCTGTCGTGAAGAAGTAATAACCATACAAACTTTTATAATATTACTAGCTGCTTCCCGCGACTGCGCCCGCGCAATCCCGTTTTTTAGGAATATACATTAGATAAAAGTCCTATATCAATATCCGTCGTCTGGTTCTAAGCTACCTCCTCACTGAGTTTCAGCCAAATCGGTTGAGCCGTTTTTGAATTATAAGCAGTGTATATCTATATTAGGACTAGCTGACCCGGCGAACTTCGTTCCGCTTAATACTCTAACCTACTCTATCCTACTCTACCCTACTCTACCCTACTCTACTGTACCCTAATGAAAAATAGACTATCCTATCTCTCAAGTTGGATCGAACTGCACATGGTGTGCGAATTTTATTACAATCGGTTAAGTGGTTTAGGAGTCCATTGAGGACAAACATTGACACTGACTAACTTAAACTCTTCTAACATAGCACGCTAAACATTCCAGGTACAAGTGCCACCCCACATAGAGAACCTGGTCTTCCCGGAGACGATGAGTTCATCACCTCGCAGCGAGTGGTCTGTGGACGCTCGGAGCTTGCAGTGTTACTCGCTCGTACTCACAGACGAGCGCGGCGAGCGGGCTTATGGGTGAGTAATACTCAATCATCATCATCATCATCAACAGCCTATAAATGACTGCTGACCAAAACCTCTTCTCACACGGAGAAGGTTTGAGCATTATAGAAATAAGATGTCCTAAATTAGTCCACAATGTTAATGCTACTTTCGCCAGGGCTTTCCTAGTACAGGCATCTAACTGTATAAAGTCTACATCTCTTGTTAAGATAATATTTTGCATTTTGCACATTTTATCTTCAATCAAGATTATTTATTATTATTATTATTAATCAGCACGCTTGCTTATAGAGGGTTGGCGATTTCAAACTTATAATTAGAAATTATAAGCCCAGGTTTCCTCACGATGTTTTCCTTCACCGTTTGTGTGATCCACTTTGATCGATTGTTGTTCTGGGTGGCGATGTCATGGGTATATGAACTTGTATGTTTGTAACAGAAGATAATAATAGGTATGCTTTAAATATAAAATTTATATATTTCCAGTTATTGTCGCCGCGTGCTACCAGAGGGCGCTACCACGTGTCTACCACTCTGCTATTGTTTGATAGGTCGCTATAGAGCGCCTGGCTTCTATTATAAGGTACATCTTTTTTATTTTCCTCTAATAATTCTTACTTCCTTACTAATATTGTAAATCGGAAAGTGAGTTTGTTTGTTTGTTCCGCTTTCACGCCGTAACTACTAAACCGATTGCTTTCAAATTTTGCAGACGTAAAGTTAGACGCCTGGATTAAATAATAGGGTACTTTTCATCCCGTAAAAATTGATATTCCGGAGGGAAAACAAAAGTATTGGTATAGATGGCGCTGTTTGTATTGTATATGTCACATAGGCTACTTTTTATTCTCTTGTGACGCGAGCGAAGCCGTGGGTAACAGCTAGTATCTACTAAATTAACTAAAAATCGCGGGTTACTCACGTGAACAGACTAAGAAAAGCTCTACTACTTTCGAGCCACAGAGGGGCTCTTCCTCATGAGTAGCGTGCCCTACTGGCTAGTGTCAGCGCTTGCGTCAGTGTTGTTCCTTGCGCCGCGCGCCCACCGCGCCCTCTGCCGGACATCACGCGTGTTGGCTTCCGACTCTAGCGGCGGCGTGTAGGACGAAGTTGAAACGCATCGTACGCTCACCAGTGGCGCGGGTAGTGGGTTTGATTTCTGCACAAAGTCAGTGGTACATATTACTGTGGCTCGGCTTCCAAGCAGTATTGGCTTTCACAGTATACTCACGTGAGTAACCCGCGATTTTTAGTTAATTTAGTATGTCCCACGATAGTTATTATAAAAACATCTTTAGATTAGTTTCTGCCAGCGGTTTCGCCCGCGTTCCCGTGTGTTAAAAAGTAGCCTATGTTTTAATTTAATTGCGTAAATTGGAATAAAAATTCTAGACCATTATCTACCCCTGTTCTACTCTACCTTCACCACTTATCTTCGATAATGTAATTAATAACATCACGCCTTTTATCCCCGAAGGGGTAGACACAGGGAGGGGCACTTAACGACACTTAATGCCACTGTACAATGTAACACCCACTTTTCACTATTTCTGTTATGAGTCCCATGTAATAGAAGGTGAGCCTATTGCCATATACCGGACACAATTCCAGACTCCGTGCTACTACTGAGAATTTGAAAAAGAAATCCAGTAAGTACTTTGCCCGACCCGGAATCGAACCCGAGACCCCTTGTCCGGCAGTCGCGCGTAATTAATGTATTAAATAAATATTTTTCAGGTACTAGAAGAAATAGAATCACACCACGGCAGCTCAGACGTCGAAATCCACTCAATACTACAACAGCTATTTGAAACAGATTTCCCAAACCCGGGCGAGGAAATCACAATCAACTACGCCAAGAACAACGATTACGACATCCCCGGTGATTATGAATCCCCGGACGGTGATTATAGTCTACCGAGCGGTGAATATAATGTGTCCCCGAAAAGTAAAACTTTGCCGGATCTGAGGAGGGAGGAGAAAAATGAAATTGCTAATTTTTACGATTTAGAAAATAACAATGGCGTTAAGAATTTTAATTCTAGCTTTGATATGCCTAGGTAAGTGATTTTTCATCATAATATCACGCCTTTTATCCCCGAAGGGGTGGGTAGAGATGCACGTTACGGCACTTAATGCCACTGTACAATGTAACACTCACTTTTCACTATTTATTTTATGAGTCCCATGTAATACCCCCCATTACATGGCACCTATTGCCATATCCCGGGTACAATTCCAGACTCCGTGTTACTACTGCTGAGACTTTTTTTTAAAACCCAGTGGTACTTTGATCGACCCAGAAATCGAACCCGATACCAGTTGCCCACTCGGCCAACGAGGCAGTCTGTTTTTTTTTTAAGGCTTTTATATATTTGTGATGGGGGTATGGTGTCTTTTTAGTGCGTAAGCCTGTAAACGAGCAGACGGATCACCTGATGGTAAGCAATCGGCGTCGCCCATGGACACCTGGAACACCAGAGGCGTTACAAGTGCGTTACCGGCATTTTGGGGATTAGGAGTTTGGGGATCGTTGGGGATTCAGGGATTGGGGAGATTGGGGAAGGGGAGGGTAATTGGGTCTCCGGTAACCTCACTCACACAACGAAACATAATGCAAGCGTTGCTTCACGTCGGTTTTCTGCTCGGCCGTGGTATCACTCCGGTCGAGCCGGCCCATTCCTGCCGAAGCATGGCTCTCCCACACATTAAGATAGAATTTGATGAGATTTGGCACAGTGGCCTATTTCCTTGTGAACTAAAATAAAAAAACTTATAATTATCAAATTGATCAATAGAACTGTGATATTTTTTTCAATATTAAACTTTTAACCACTGCAAAAAATCTTTTTTTCATAATTTAATTCTAATTGCAGAACGAAAATTATAAAGCGACCGATAGAACCACGCGTGGACGAGGACAACATGTCAGTGTTGCTGGACTTGTTGGGCGCTGGACTAGTCATCAAGGTGTTCGGGTCTCTACTGCTGGAGAGGAAGGTCATCATCATTGGAGACCAGCTCAGGTAAACCATCCATCTTGTATAGTATATTTGTCACAAATTCACCAACGCTAATCTTTCCGTGGGTATCACACGCCAAAAGAATACTTTAACATAACAAATCAACTTATAAAAATCAAATAAAATAAAGCTAAATAAGCTTTAAATAGTTTTATTATAAGAGCCTTTGCCCTGTTCTAAATTTCATCCCGATCTCTTCAGTCGTTTTGTCGTGATTGTGTAGCAGTTTTCTGCTCGTTGGTATCACTCCGGTCGAGCCGGCCCAGCAGTGCCTAAGCATGGCTCTCCAACACTTAAATTTTAACATAGGTCTCCTCCGATGAGTTCAAGGTCGGTTGGAACTTGGACGCTATCGCAGCTGCAACCAGCTGCGATTTTTATCAGGTTGTCTGTTGACCTGGTGGGTGGACGTCCTAGGCTACGTTAGGGAGCGCTTATATTCAGCAGGGGCCGACTTGTGACTGATGTGATGATGGTCAAAGATGTTTTTGATATCCTTTTTAACCGAAGCATGGCTCTCCCACACTTGACTCTTATAAATATAGATTTACTTAACATATTATTCTCTAAATTCCAGATCAGTGTCATCCTGCGTAGAAGCTCTACAAGCCTCCCTATACCCGTTCGTATGGCAGCAGCCCCTAATATCGTCCATCCCCATGGAGATACAGCGCGAGGTACTAGAGGCCCCGCTGCCTATCCTCGCGGGTATGCTACACCCGCCGCACGATTCAGACCTCAGTTCCGTCGTTTTTGAAGAGGTTAGTGAATAAAAATGCAGTATTTTTGGTATAATTCTAGTTTTTTTTTACCTATTTTAGTACAGAAGTATCAAAAATGTTGGTATTCTTTATCTTTTTTGGGCATTAGTCTTTGGTAAGTGTGATCCTTACATTACTGTATTAAAAATGTTGCTTACGGTTTTAGAGGATGCTCGTTTATTTTCGGATGGATTCGAAATTAGTCGGGCGACCTTGTAAATCATACTTTTTTTAAGGGGGGAAATCATCGAAAGACTGCTCCCGCCTGTGTGAGGCGGGAGGGAGTGTCAGACTCTTACTGACTAAAAACCACCCCGTTCCTTCTCCTGCACGTCGAGCCGGAGCCCGGTTACCCGTAGAAATTTACTTCTGACTGCAAAACTTTTAATGACAGTTTCCGAACGTGCACGTTTAATTTCGAGTTGGTTCAAAATTAGTCAGACGTCCATGTCCACGATGAAATTGTGTTTCGACTCAAAGTCAAAGCATTTATTTCAATTAAACCATATTTTGGTACTTTTGAAACGTCAACAAATACAAAATAAATAATAGTCTGACAGTCTGTCCGTCAGTGAAATTGACTCATTCCAAAATGTAGAGGTAGATTCGAATGGAGAAGAACGAGCAAGAAACTCCATTCGTTACTCTTTTAAAACTGTAACTGACTGACTATAACACGTAATAACTGGTCATCTATCTACTAAGTAATGTGTTTAATTCTCTTTATCTCTTCGTATGGCAACAGCCGCCAATATCTTTGCCCACGGGAATCAAACCCGAGACACATTGTGCTGCAACCAACCATCCAGTTACAATATCACTTCTACTTTTCCACATAAACCAACATATGTATATTAATCCACCGTCTCTCTTTCACAGGGTATGCTAATAGACCTCACGCACCCATCAAAGGTCCTCTACTACCAAGGAGACGAATCCACTATTTTACCAACTTCATGCTATAAAACTCTAAAAACTGCGCTACAAATGGAAACGAGCAAGAACAAAGATCGGGAACAAGACATAAGAACAAGAAATCTAATGATATCCGAAGCGTTTTTGAGATTTTTCGTCGATATACTTGGTGATTTCTGGCGTTTCTTCCACTTGGGAGAGGTTAAGGATGGCGATTTGGGCCGCAACGGTGTTGTTTTTGATGTGAGTATTTTTGTTTTTCATGTCATAAGCCTGCCCATTTCCACTTTAGTCTAAGTGCATATGAAACTGCGTCAATTGCTTTGCGAAATCCTACGTGTGGCTGGAGTACGCTGGCTAGATACAGCAAAAGATCGAGAAAGATGTCAGTCTCTGGAGGAGGCCTTCACCTCAAGGGTGAATGAAATAAAATGAAACTTAATATAAAATAATATGTTTTTTTGGAAATTTATATGTCTTTTTAATTGGGAAATATAAGGCTTTTTTATTTTTATTTCTTTTTTTATTTTATGTCATAAGCCGGTAAACGAGCAGACGGATCACCTGATGGTAAGCAATCAACGTCGCCTATGGACGTCTAAAACACCAGAGGCGTTACAAGTGCGTTACCGACCTTTTGAGGATTAGGAGTTTGAGGATCGTTGGGGATTCAGGAATTGGGGAGATTGGGGAAGGGCAGGATAATTGGGCCTCCGGTAACCTCACTAGGCGGGTCGCTAGTAATAGATATAACTAAAAATTTACCTTTTATTGTTTACAACTACTAATAATAATAATTTATCTCTTCTCGCCCACAGAAGGAATCATTCATAAAAAGCTCAACGTCGAAACAGAACCAGTACTTCCTAGAATGGTTCACGGAAACAGCCATGTTCACGCACTTCATACAGAATATGTCGTCGATATACAACTCGAAAATCAACCCGAATTCAACTCCAGACCTCGTGGATACTCCTTTACCGAATTATTACGGATTATTCGACGAAAGAGTAAGAAGTCGGAATAAGTCGGCAAGTAAGTCGGTAGATAGTTCTAAGAGTAATTATAAGAATGCTGTCAATAAGAAGGTTAAATTTCTCAAAAGTAAACTCAGGGATTTGGTCGCGTAAAGTGTAGTTCTGTGTTTTTGTTTTTGTGTTAAATGGGACTCGTAAGTGGTGAAAAGTGGGTGTAACATTGTATTATCTGTATTTAAAAAAGGGCTATGGTTTTTTTTAAATCTGATAGCGGTATTGTAGCATATACAGGGTGGAATTTTGTAATGCCACCCTGAAGGGGAAGTACTCTTAATACTTTAGATAGAACATTTTACTCAAAGAAAACATTACTTTATTTTTTAAAAGAAACTAAACTGTATTCAAATGTTTTTTTAATTTAGCTTGCCTCACACGGTAATCGTACCGACTAAAATCTGTCAAAGTTTCTCCGTCATGCTACATTACCGCCATCTAACGAACAAAAATAACGGTATTATCATCGGGGTAAGTGTGCGTCACACCCCTTCGGGGATTTCGTTTGTAATCGGGTACTTTCCTTAATCAAAAATAAATTATTTCGATAGTTCAATACAATAAAATATAGAAAATTAATCACTTTCATTAATGCGACTGCCTCGTTGGCCGAGTGGTTGCAAGTGCGACTGCCGGGCAAGGGGTCTCGGGTTCGATTCCCGGGTCGGGCAAAGTATTACTGGGTTTTGAAAAATTCTCAGTAGTAGCACGGAGTCTGGAATTGTGCCCGGTATATGGCAATAGGCTCACCCCCTATTACATGGGACTCATAACATAAATAGTGAAAAGTGGGTGTTACATTGTACAGTGGCATAATGTGCACCTCTGCCTACCCCTTCGGGGATAAAAGGCGTGATGTTATGTTATGTTATGTTACTTTCATTAATCGATTTTATGACCAACTTAATTTTAATATATAACCAGAAAATTTAAAAAAATAAGTATTCAATTGGACGCTATAAAACGTGACGTCACAATACACAATCTCGTACGAAATTCATAGAGAACTGTCGTTTTTGACAGTTCGAAAAGAGTATTGAATTTGACTAGTTGGCGAGTACCCAATTGGGTAGGACCTATAACTATCGTGAGGTATACTGATTCGTGATAAAATTAATTACGTTTTATGGCGTATTCACATAACTGATTTCAAGGTTGGCACGGTGGCTGGGCGACTATACTCGGAACGGAATTTTAATTCGATTCCAGATTTCATAATTTCAGTGTTGCAACGTTATGACAAGTACTAAATAGTGACGTTGCGAAATTATTCGATATGGAAATGCAATATTTCTGGATCGATTCTTCTCGTTTATAATTTTACTCTCGTAAACTAAGTATATCAGGAAATTAAATATTTCTGAACCGATAATTTAGTTTTGACGATTAATCAACGATCTGAGACTTTTCTTTTATAATTGTGTGTGAAATAAATAAAAAAATGTGATCATGAAGGAACATGACAAATAAAACAGATAGATGTATTATGGTAATAAGTTATTTTATAAGTTGTCGCCGTCATCGCTGTCGCTATCCTGTCACTTTCTGTAACATCTATTATAAAACACACACACTGATTGTTTATCGATTTTTGTGTTCATCACTACACTGTTATATGTGGTATCATTATTTCACAAAATGACAGTAGCTATTGTCAAATCTGGAATCTAATTAAAATTCTGACTATAGTTATTGTGCACAGTGACACGGGCTCGATTCCCGCATAGAAAACTTATTTGTATGATCCACAAATTGGGATGATGACACAGTGTGAAAATTAAAAATATAATTAGTCCGCAAGTTAGGTAATGAAAAAATATTTGACACGTATTTTTTTATTTTGTCGTATAATAAAACAATACTTAGATGAAACGAATCAAAGTTTCCCCACTCCTAAAGCTAAAACGTCATTTCTACGTATAAAATGTATACATAGAAGTGACGTCACGCGACATTCCAAATCAATATATCGTCGAAAGTATTCGTTTCTGTAAGAAAATAAAAAATACGTGTCTAATGATTTAAAATAATCTACCAGACGGACAATAAAATGGAAATTAGGTATCTACCTTATTGTTATTCCGGGTTTAGGTGAAATTGTACCTCTATAATTATAAACACACACACACACCACATAGGAGAAAATCAATGCTTTAAGTAAAAGAGAAAGGTGTTTTTTATAGAGAAACCTAGTGCATAATAAAATATATATAGTAAAATATATATATTTTATTATGTATACATAAATATACAGTATGTTGGGTTAAACGAGGGACATATTCAAACCCATAATAGTGTATACTCACATGAACCTAACAAACATATAAACGAAACGAAAACACTAATAAATAACAGACAGAACCATAAAAACGCTTAGACTTACGGGTTACGGCTTAGCGGGCGCTCTATTCTCTTCGACAAGATCGCCGCGTGTTTTGGAACGTGACTTACTTTATGTAAGTTCAGTTTCTGTTTACAAGTTCACTTGTTGCGCGCTCAGTGTTCATGATGATGTATTTTATTAGACAATTACCTCAAAAATTTTGATTATAGGTTTTTTACATATTCGGGACGAGAATCGAATACTGAATACCCTCCCTCAATAAGTCCCTCGTTTAACCTAACACACTGTATATATTTTATTATGCACTAGGTTTCTCTAGTAGAAATATTTTCTAGTTCTCGAAAAAGCTACTTTAAATTATGGGCTCCTATCTAACATGAAACTAGTCGAGCCAACTCGAAAAGATACGTGAGTGCGCCGTTCAACATAATTAATTTAATTAAGTGTTATATTTGAGCATATTCTTCTGTCTACGTCTTTAGGAGTTAAAAGACATATATTATTATTAATATAAGACTGTTAAGATCTAAACTTATATGTCTGTCTACCCCGTCTAGACTAAAAAGCGTGATGTCTATTATATGGGACTCATAACATAACAGGTGTTACATTGTAAGGGGTCGTGCACAAAACTGCGATGCGATGTGATGCGATTTCGTGCATCTCCCAACAGGTGACCATTCCTTCGACGACCGTCAACTGTACTATACGGTTTTTAAATTGAAAACTAGGTCGTTACATGGATCGTAAAAAGAATTGTCCACTTCTGTTATTGCTTAGGAGATACAGGAAAAAGAAACAAAGAAGATTTTGGGAAGATAAGATTTTGATGCGCGATGCGAATCAATTCGCAAGTTCTTGCGATGCGACTTCGCACCGCAGTTTTGTGTACGAGCCCTATATGTGTACCTTTGTCTATGAACTTTAAACACGACTACACATCAAGCCATGCTAACCAGTATAATCTGACCCTCGAATATGTAGAAAGATTGTATAAAGTGGGACCATGATATCCTGCGCCTTTAGCTAAACGCCACTTTAGCGCTTGTCTACAGAGAGAGTAGAAAATTAAATGTATGGGGATGACACTGACAAGTGTCAAAATTTACGTCAATAGGGTAGATGAGTAATTTTTATTTTAATGTCCGTCTGGTAAATTATTTTAAAACATTAGACACGTATTTTTTATTTTCTTGCAGAAATGAATACTTTCGACGATATATTGATAGACACGTATTTTTTATTTTCTTACAGAAACGAATACTTTCGACGATATATTGATTTGAAATATCGGCGTGACGTCACTTCTATGTACATTTTATATGTAGAAGTGACGTTTTAGCCTTTACTATATATAAGTATTGTTTTATTATACGACAAAATAAAAAAATACGTGTCTAATATTTTTTTATTACCTAACTGACGGACTAATTAGATATTTAATTTTCATACCCTGTCATCGTCCCAATTCCATATAATTTGGTTTTCTATTCTACATGTAGACATGCGCTTAATGGCATTTGGCTACAGCTGCTGGTTCTATATAACTCCGTGCATCAAGCTATAATGTACCAGTTTAAACTGACCGTAGAATGTATGGAAAGATTGTATAAAGCGGGACCATGATATACTGGATTTGTATAGCTCGATTTGAAGCCTAATATTTTAAATGAAAGACTATACCTACTGTTAATTTATCTCTGCCTATCCCTTAAGGGGGTTATGGGCGTGATGATAAGTTACTGCAAATCAGTTATTAAAGGACTGTTTCATTACGTCTGAATATTTTTGGTTAGTAAATAATAAAGTCTAACTAGACTAGCATAATCATCAACAGCCTATGAATGCCCACTGCTGAGCAATGCCTCTTCTCACGCGGAGAAGGTTTGACCATTAATCTCAAACTCAAAAGCATTTATTTTAATTAACCTTCAAGTCCTGACGTGGTTTACTCATACCACAAACGGTGACGTGACGTATGTCAAACACCTTAACAAATTATCGAAATGGATTACTTTTTTTACTGATTTGCACAATATTTACTTGTATTGTGATCGGTCCATTATAATTCTATTAAGGAAGTGAAAAAAATACAACGTTCTCGGATGAAATCAGCGGTTTCTGATTCAAATTCTATAAACTTAAAATATAAATATTTCGCATAACTTAAAAAAATATATGTTAAAATCTTACCTACAATACAATTATTTGGACGTTTTTTTGGAAAATTCTTATATTCGTGAACACGCCGTCTATGAGACACCCACGTCAGTAGTTAAAGGTTAAAACATAATTTGGTCCTTTCTAAACTTCTGAGTACGACTGTTATAGTACCTAACTATTGAAACGTAGTGATCAGTTTTGAAACAGTACTTTGATATCTCTTAAATCATGTATTATTACGATTTTCAATTCAGAAATTCTCAGTAATAGCCCAAAAGTCTCGAATTAAGTCTCATATGTATGTACTATATTGGTACATCTCTGCCTATCCAATTTGGGGAAGAGTGATATTATGTTTCATATCATTCTAGTAATTTGAACGTACTTAGTTGACATGTAAACAGCAGCTCATGTAGTGTAGATGTCCAGTCAACAAGGATGTAGCGAGGTTGACTGTCCAGGCGACACATACATGAGCTTATGTAAAAAAATATAGGATTTATACACCTTTGCGGTGATTTTAAAAAAATGTTATTTATTCAATAAAAACCTACTAGGAGTTTATAATCGTCAATAGGCTCACCCCCTATTACATGGGTCTCGTAACATAAATAGTGAATATGTTTACCTGTCTACCCCATCGGGTATTAATAGCCGTTATCCTAAG